AAAGCTGTGCTGTGCAGCGCTGCCCCGGGGCCCGGCGGGGAGCGGGGCCCAGGTGAGGGGAGGTCGAGACATGAGAAGCTCGGGGGGCGGGCTGAGGCTGGGCACGCGGAGCTGTAGGAATCGAGCTGCATCTCGCTAAGCCCTCTGACACCGAGAGGCGATCGAGGAGGGAACTCCGCCGCTTAGCAAAGCACCGCTGCACAGGGCAGGCTGCACCCCGGCGGCTGCTTGGAGGGTTGTGCATGGCGCGGGGGAAGGGGCTCCGTGCCCACTCCACCAAGCTCTTATTAATTCGGCGGGTGGGAGAAACCCAAGAGATTTCTTAGTTACTCCAAGTTGAGTCGGCAGCAGGTGGTTCCTTCAAGGGGCGGATCGGATCGCGGGAAGCAGTACTTTCCGAAACACTGCCCGCACCCCCAACTCCTTAAGGCTCCAACGTGAGATACACCATTTGCAGGAGATTGTGTACTTCAAAATTTCGCATAGATATACTCCACTGGACTTCATTGTTTCTGATAGGGTGCACCATGTTATCGCATTAAGAAAAGTGGCATGTTTATCAAGTCAGCTGCTATTAAAACCTAATATTTTATTTTTAAAAGTTTCTAGCTCGCATTTATAAAGAAAAACTGGAGAAGTTGCAGCTAATGGCATTGAAAGGGAGTAGCCTGAACCCCTAGTCACCACCAGAGCATATTAGTCCCTTACTGGTGTCTTCCTAATTACTGGGAAGAAAGAGGCTACCACAGCTGACTTGAAGCAGAGGACTCTGAAGAACATTGTTTACCACCCCTATTGTTTACCACTTGTTTTTTGGTTGCTCCAGGTGTCATCCATTCTTTCCTCACCATTCTTACATGCTTTGATCAACTGTGAAATACTTATTCTTGAAACTTAAATGACTGCACATGAGAGACTAACCAGTGAAATGAATACTTCTCAACCAATTTTTCAGGTTCTGAAAAATCAGACACCACTATAGCAATTACATTCAGTTCATGTTTACAAACTTGAGCTAGTGACTTACTTTTAATTTGTTTTAAAGTCAGATTCAAGAGAACAAGACAGCAACTTTTATTTTTTAAGTTAGAAGCTGGCTGTGGGACAAATAAATCCAAAGCCATTAGCTTTTTCTTCTAATTAATAACTGTCTACAGTACTTGTTTGAAGTTCTCACTAAATTCAGTTTTAATCTAGCTTTCTGTCCTTCAGTCATTGTTGATTTGGTGAGATAGTTTGTAATCATTTAAGGCTTCAACACAGGATCAAACTAGAGACAGAGAAATGATGCTATTAAAAAGCAAACTGCAAATGGGTCATAATCCTTTGTCAAAACTGCAGTCATTTTAAGTATGATGTATTTTTCTTATAATGAAAATTGTTCAAAAGTGCTACCATATACAGTATAATTTGCTATAATTTTAAAGAGAATGCCTTTGTTCAGTGATGATCAACAGCCATATTATTATTTCAGTGACTTAATAGGGACTTTCTTCAATTTAATATTTTTCTCTCTCAGATCTTATTGGTGAAAACATTTATTTGGTCTTATTTACCATAACTCTGCGAGTACTTAACTGCTTTTTAGTCCAGACAAGCTTTGTTCCAGATGAATACTGGCAGTCGCTTGAAGTTGCACATCATATGGTTTTCAAATATCCTTTGCTTTTTGAAGTTAAAATTAGTGTCATCTTTCTAAAACTGAACTATGTGTGCTCACTTTCTTTCATTTTGTAATAGTGTTCTCAGGACAATAATTACATCAGTTTGTGATGACTTTTTTGCCCCAGTAATATGATCACATTCACTCGGCTCTCTCTCTCTCTATTTCCATGCTTTTACTTATCTTAGTAACTAGAGATGTGAATGGGTAACCAGTTACACGGTGAGCATCACCCTTAATAGATGATCCTTACTGGGTAATGGTTAAATGTTACCTGGGAGCAGCCTCTCACTCTGGCCCTGCGAGGCTGCTGGCTCTCAGCCTGCACGGAATCGGAAGCAGCCAGGCTGGAGCAGCCCCTGCCCATGGTGCAGGGACCACTCCAGCCTAGTGGGCTAGAATGACCCCCTCCACCCAGCCCTGTTTAATCAGTTAACCCGTTAAACGTAATCTTTAACTATTAGTAACTTTCCTGGAGCTCTGTCACTATAGGTTTGACCACCTAGTCCAGCACCGACAGGTGCTGACCCCTGACACCACTGCCACCAGCCTGGCTGCACACAGGTTCAGCCAGGCTCCTGGCCACTGGCCCTTCTGCTCACAGCCTGGCTAGGCTCTCAGGCTGCCAGCCCTGATGCTGTCAGCCTGGCCAGATTCCCAACTGCTGGCCTCGGCCCCCCTCCCCCCCCGCCACTTGCAGGGCTCCGAGCTGCTGGGGCTCTCTGGTCCAGGAACATCAGAGAGATGTAACCTGTACCACTGTCCTTGTTGGGTAGAAGGAGTGTTAAGCTAGGGATGTCCCAGGCAGTGAGATATTAATAGGATCATTGGCAGAAATCACTAATAGAAAATAGTCTCAGAGTAGATTTTTAACACAGAATCAGGAAATCCTGAGAATAAGTGGAGCACTAACAGGAAAACACTGAGTTCTTTATATATCCTTAATATTACTAATTATGGCTTCTTGACTTGGGAATGGGCAGAAGGTTTAAGGGGTTATTCCTACCCACTATTCTTTGCAACTATCTACAGAGTTTTACAGCTATTGGCAAAGGATGATGTGCAGCTGCTGGTGAGTATAAAGGAAGTATTTTTTAAAAGTTCAGCGGCTACTTTGAGGGTGAAGACTGTAGGTAGTAATTCTTGATCTCTATCAAACTTCTTCAAATGCCAAAGAAGATAGTTTTGTGCCAGTAGTATAATTTTTGTCATGGTTATTTTTAGTAAAAGTCAGACAGATCACCAAAATATCATGGAAAACCACAACCTGCCCATGATTTCTATTGCAAATAAAATGAGGGGACTAAAGCTTGGGGAGGGGAGGATGGCTGACAGCGCCAGTCCAAACCAAAGCTGTTGAGGTAAGGGATGCAGTTACAGAAGTACCATAAAGGCATGGAATCCATGACCTGCGTGATTAAATCTTATCCTTAGCCATTAGAATCACAACACTACTTGCTTAGTAGCTCTTTAATTAAAAGCTTATTCTGGCTACATACTCTAGTACCAGGTACTACAAAAAAATAACTAACAGCTGAACAGAATCTGAGAGTAGGTTTTTTCAAAAGCACTCTGTACTGACATAACTACTTTATTTGAAGACAGTGAATTAAACTGCCATTGATGTCATTAGAAGGTCAATTTACATCATTTTGGAACAGTTTTAAAAGAGCTACTTGGAGTTTCTGGAAACTTTCAATTGAATGTCAGACTGGCTTTCTTTGGTTTTAGTAGAAACTCTGGACTCCTCTTTCTCTAGGACTATGGTATTTAAAATAGTAAGAGCTTTTCATCAAAACATGCAGAAACACTAATATTTCATCATGTCTTTCATTTCCTCAATGGATTGATGTTTTAAAAATCTAATGTTACATAGTGTAGTTAAACTTGTGAGTTAATTGGGGTTCCAGAAATAAAGGTAAGACAAATAAGGACTTTTTTTGTTTTTTTAATATAGATTTGGATCCCTAGACTTGTGCAAGCACTTCTATCCGCTCTAGCAGATGTGAAGCTTTACTCATTTGTGAGACACCTAGAAAATGCAGAAACAGCAAAGTGGGTGGTGAGTCTCAGCCTTAAGTATATCTTACGTGTTTTGTAGTATTTTAGCAGTGTATTGCAGTACTTAAGAAATGGTTAAATGGTATTATTCAATGTCTGAAAGGTTTTAAACATAAGTGCTATCGCCACTTTCATTAAAAGCTATAAAAATACCATATTAACACTTCCCTCCCATCCTGTTGTTCATAATTGTTTTTAGTATCTTTGCCAGTTGTGCTCTTGGTTTACATGGTATTGCTGTACCAGAACTCTAACAAACACCATGGAAACTGTTCTCACCATCTTTGCTCTTTTCTACTATCCACTGGAAGGCTCAAAGACGAGGAGAAGGTGAGAAAATGTACACATTAATAAGTTTTGTAACCTTTGACTGGAATCATCAGAATAAATGCAGCTGTTAATATACTACTTTCTGTTCATATATGAACTTCTGCCTTTTGTTGTTCTCCCTCATGTTTTACTTTTATCTGCACAAATGCACAGACTTCTGAATTTAGAAAGCTAATGTGGATGATAACTATTCCTCATGCAAAGGCACAAGTCCAGTTAATGCTCATGGCAAGACTGTACAGATGGAACACAGTTTTTCATCTGCCAAGAGGTTTTATATTGGTTCCAAAGAAGTTGTTGGGGATGGGACCATATGAAACAGAGTTTTGGGTTGTTGGGTCAACTAAGGGTTAATCTGTGACCAAACTGCAGCTGTTTCAATTGCCTAGTGGAATAATAACGGTGGTTATAGCTGCACGTGGAAGCAGGAGACAGTGGTGGGTATGTAAAATTACTACTCTGCTGTTCCTCATATCAAACCCAAATTATTACCTATGGGGGACATTAATTTCATCTTTAGGACAGTGTAGAGGTGCTGAATTTGTGAGACTTTAGGAAGGACAGAAAAGCTGGTCACTCAAACAAAATATTCAGAATCAACATATTAACTAATTTCGAACTGAGTAATACTCTTTAAAAAGCCTACACATACTTTCTAACAAGATATGTAGTCTTGCTTTGTTTAATTTACTACAGCTTTTTCATAAAGCAAGCCAATAAGGAAGTGTTTGCACCTAAAGATTCAAGGTTATAGGCAAGAGCTGTGTATGGAAGTCTGCATGCTGTACTTGCCCAAAAGCTTGTCTGCATTATACGCTTCAAGTTGATGTTAAATCAGCTTACCATAGTGACTTCATAGCAATGTGTGGACAGGAGATTATCTCCTGTCAACTACCCTTATGCTTCTCATTGAGGTGAAGTCCTAGAGTTGACAGGAAAGCAATCAGTGGTCAACTTACCGCATCTGTGCTAGATGCAATAAATCAATCCCTGCTGGATCAATTGCTGCCCTGGAGATCTGGTCCATAGTGTTGACCTGCCATAAGTCACTGCCCAGAAACCTAGTAACATGAAAAATGTGGTACTTTTGTCACATGGGACTAATATCTACTATATATTTTAGAAACTTTATTTTTCTGTGTATGAGTTCATTTCCTCAGGAATTCCTTTTAAGCTGTAAGAGCTAGGACCACCAAATTTGGTATGAAGCTTCTTCTTATCATAACAAAGCAAAGTAAGGGATTGATTGTACCACGATAATAGGATGTGTCTAGAATTCAATTGTTTCTCATAAAATGGAAAGGGGGGAGGGAAGTCTGTTAAGGACATTATACTGTAGAATGACCACAGGGGAGCAGCTAGGGACCAGAAATGGGGACTAAGCAACTATAACCGCATTGGGATGGCCAGAGTGGAAAAAGGGACAGGTAATGTAATATGTATTTGAGAGTTTGTCTGTTTGTATGTCTGTTCATTAGCTGGGCAATATGCATCATTCTCCCAGCTATGCCCACTGCAGCAGCCATGTACAGGTGCTTCTCACTTGGTCCCAAGGTGCGGTGGTGAGAGAGGGCTGGTGGTGTCCTCTTTCCCCAGGGCAGCCTGCATGCTGACCCCCTCATCCTCAGTACCACCCCAGGATGGCGATTGAAATGAAGAAAAATAAAACTTACTTGTGTTAAGGAACTGAGCAACACTGGATAAACATAGTATAATATAATGAAAGAGCAATTACTGTACTCTGAGTGTTTCAATAACACTTTTTTTCGTTTCCAGTTGCAAATATTTAACTTGGGTAGCACTTGCATTTATTATTCGTCCAACTGCTATAATTCCATGGATACCTTTGGTACTTTGGCATTTCTGGCAAGAACAGAAGAAGGTAGATCTTGTTCTATACGGCTATATTCCTGTAGGGTATGTATTTTATTAATTCAGTAAATTATGACACTCTGCATAATAAATAGTATCTAGTTTAGGGGACAGTGACATACACAATTGCAGATGCAAGCTAAAGAAAAGTGTAATTTCTAATCTAAGCATTGACTATGTTAATAATCAAATAGCTTTTTCTTGATTTTTTTTTTTTCCAGATTGGTCACTCTAGTGCTTTCTTTAATAATTGACCGTGTATTTTTTGGTGAGGTAAGTTGTCATATAACGTCTTGAACTAAATTTAAGCATTTTAAACACATTTTTACTTGGACAGATGATTCCACACTTTCCTTATTCAAGAGTTATCACTGTCTGATTTGATATCTGTATATTCTGCTTTTGGCATCACCTCTAATGTTTTATACCCTACAATCATATGAGTATAATTTTAGCCATTAATATCTCTGATTTTAATTCACTAGAATACCACTTCAAATAGGAAGCCACTGTAGTGTTGGTACTAATTCACTTATACTTAAGTGTCAATGTTCAGAGATATTTGCATGTTAATTTAATGATGCACACAGTAACTACATTAGTATTCACTGCAGCATATCTTGTGTTGTGGGAGAGTTGTAATGTTAGTTAGCTCAGCATTAATTTCTATTAGGATGGCTCATTTGTAGTGTGTTTGGTATTTGCTGCCTAGGTATTTACAGATCCTAGTTAAAGCTGTTGGTGAAATTTCTCATTTCTGACACTTGTTAGCATGAAGTATTCAGCAGTGTAGCACTTACCATCTATAAAAGCAGCTTTTGTACATTTTCAATTATGTAAAACAAAGATTAGTAAAAGCTCTAAGTTATATTCTGACTGTGTTCAGTTTTCATGCTGATAAAAATGCACAGCTTTGTGTAGGAAGTTTTACAGTAATATGGGCAACAATTATCCATACATTTAAGACGGACACACTTGGCAAACTTGATGTTACCAATCTAACCCAATGTCATGCAATATATAGAAAAGATTTTTTTCCCAAGCTAGAGCCACTACAGATATAACTGAGAAGTGTTAGAGCAGTAGTCAAGAGTGCAGAAGAGAATTCTGAAGGATTTAAAAGGATGTATAAAATATTTAGGGTAGGATTTTCAGAAGTGCTCATTGAAGTAAACAGTAATTTAAATCGGAGCAAATTAGGCCAATTCTGAACAATTTTGAATATCCTGACCCTGGTTTAAAAAAAAAAAACCCTCTGTGGATAACCTAGGTCTTATTTAAAGGATTCACTAACTGTAAAAGGTGAGCCTGTACTTTTTATGGAAGCCAGTGACCACTTGAGACTGTGTGCAGATTTTAAAAACATTTCACATTTTAGTCTTGTTCAATATGAGGCCTGTTCTGAATGACAAATGTAAAAATCTTTCTAATTTAACTGCTGAAAGTAACTGAATTGCTTTTACAAGCAACTTTTTTCTTTAGAATATAAAAATCCTTTAATGTTGGTGCTGCATAACTAAGTATGCCTGCTGCTATCTAATATTTTCATACTTACCACTAATTATTTTTTTTGTAATTTGCAGTGGATAATGGTTCAGCTGAACTTCTTGAAGTTTAATGTGCTACAGAATTTGGGAACATTTTATGGTTCTCATCCTTGGCATTGGTACTTGACTCAGGGATTGCCCGTTATTTTGAGCACCCATCTACCTTTCTTGATTCATGGCTGCATTCAGGCCCCAAAGAGGTATCGGATCTTTCTGGTGGTGGTGGTTTGGACAGTACTTGTATATAGGTAAGTTCCCTTAAACGTAATTAACTTTGAACCAGTCACATTTTGATAGACAAAGTTATGCGTTTAACTCTCTTAGGAGAAAGTTTTGAGATTAATGGAGAGAAATTAATTCAAATTTGCAGTGTCCAATGAATTACAAAAAATATTCAAATATTTTGCAAGAAATTAGTCAGTGGCATGACAACTATTTAACCTTGGTCCAGTGGCTTAATGAAATAATTCTAAACTGATGCTTACGGCACAGTAAGGGTGCATTAACCCAACACCTTTACCTCAAAATAAGCTACACAATTTGATCTACACAAATTGCATAGCTTATTTCAAGGTTTTCAAAATAATTTGTTTCAAAATTTGGCACTGTTTACACAGCACCACATTTTTTAAAAAGCGCTATTTCAACGAATCCCTTAACCTTTGTGAAATGAAGGTAACAGGGATGCCGGAATAGTGCACCCATTATTTTGAAATAATGGGCACATTTAAAGAAGTGGAATAGCTATTTTGGGATACTGGAGTTATCCCGAAATAGCTCCGCTGTGTAGACATAGCCTAAGTGATTAGAGAACAGATGGGACACTGCAGCACAATTAAAAACTTCTTTAAATTACTAAAAGGTGTTTGCTTTCAGCAGCAGAATGAGCTTTGTTTACCTCAGGCCTCTTAAAAAAATTACATTCCTTTGTTTAATTTCACACAAAATTCCTGAAATCATCTGTAAAGAATTGCACGGGAAGCAATTCAAAGATTACTACAGTATAAAAGTCAGTGCTATGTCAAATAGTGATAGAAATGTAGCCGTGTTAGTCTGGGGTAGTTGAAGCAAAATGCAGGACAATGTAGCACTTTAAAGACTAATAAGATGGTTTATTAGATGATGAGCTTTCGTGGGCCAGACCCACTGCCTCAGATCAAATAGTGGAAGAAAGTAGTCACAACCATATATGGTTGTGACTACTTTCTTCCACTATTTGATCTGAGGCAGTGGGTCTGGCCCACGAAAGCTCATCATCTAATAAACCATCTTATTAGTCTTTAAAGTGCTACATTGTCCTGCATTTTGCTAATGCTATGTCAGTGTTTTTGTCATGTTGACAACAGCCAGAGATTAAGGTAGTGGTTTGCAGGGGATTCATTTGTTCAGACTCTGCACACACAACTCACTTCCATAAAAAGGTGAAACGGGCGACTCTGATTATTTAAATATCAAACAGCATTCACGATTAGGGATGTTAAATTTAGATTAACTTGCTAATTGAATAGTTGATGCAGTTTGCATGGACTATACGATTGGTTGATAAGCATGCCTCCACCTTTAAAGTATAGCAACAGCCCTAGGGCAAAAGTGCTGCAGGGAGCATCGGGCCAGCAGAGAACTCAAGTAGTTCCTCACCGGCCCCATGCTCCCCACAGTGTTTCAAAGCAGCAGTGCCACATGGAGCCCAGGGTCAGCTGGGGACTCAATCTCCAGCTGATCCCAGGCTCCATGTGGCTCTCACTCTTTGAAACGCTGCGTGCATTGGGCTGCATGCAGCATTTCAAAGCAGCAGCGCTGTGTGGAGACCAGCATCTGTCCCCGAGCTACACGCCACCCTGTCGCTTTGAAGTGCCCCCTTCTCTCTCTCCACCCTCTTGCTGTCTCATTCTGATGAGTTGACTAGAATGTCGATTATCCAATAAGCATTTGCTTATTGGATAGTGGACTAGTTGTTCACATCCCTATTCAGGACCCTTCCCTTATTTAAGAACATGCTATGAAATATAAAAAAGTGTAAATGGGTCACAGTTGTGACATCAGTTGTCAGTCCAAGTCAAAACTCAGAGATGCAAAGATTGTTTTCAACTACCTTGCACTCTCCCAATCCTGTATATCTCCAGTCCCTTGAAACAATTTCGTCTAATGCCCTGGTCATGCTCCCTGCACTACTGGCATAGGAGCCAAAATTATACATAACTTGGGGATTGGGTATAATGGGCTGAGCCTCCTGTGACTGACTACGCAAGTTATAGCACTGTATGGGGTAGCAAAATGGTACGCAGCTGTCCGAGCTTAGATGAATCTTGTTCCATACTTGTGTTGGGCCCAACTTAAAAAAAAAAAAACTAAGCTTTGATTCACTGAGTACTTTTCCTCACTTGGTAATATGAACAACAGCTTATGACAAGGTAACAGTCTCTCCTTAAAGGTGGCATCCCTGACCATATGTCAGTCAAAAGCCATTGATGGATCTACCCTTCTTGAACTTACCCAATTCCTTTTTGAACCCAGTTATAGATTTGGCCTTCACAACATCCCTTGACAAAGAGTTCTATAGATTGACTGTGCATTGTGTTAAGTAGGACTTCCTTTTGTTTTAAACTTGCTGCTTATTAATTTAATTGAGTGACACCTGGTTCTAGTGTCATGTGAAGAGATACATAACATTTCCTTATTTACTTTCTCTATACCATGCATGATTTCATAGATCTGTATCATATCCCCCACCTTTGTAATCTTTCTTGATAGGGAAGTTGTTCCATACTCCTAACCATTGCTGTTGTCCTTGTCTGTACTTTACCACTTATAATATCTTTGAGGTGGTGAGACTAGAACTGCACACAGCATTCAAGGTGTAGGAAGATCATGGATTTATATAGTGGAATTGTGATATTTTTCTGTCTAATTTATTCCTTTCCTAATGGTTCCTAGCATTAGTAGCTTTTCTGGACCATTGCTGCACATTGAGCAGATGTTTTCAGAGAACTATTCTCAATGACTCCATGACCTTTCTTGAGTGGTAACAACTCACTTAGATTTCCTCACTTTGCAGGTAGAGTTGGGATTGCTTTCCTATGTGCATTACTTTGCATTTATCAGCACTGAATTTCATCTGCCATATTGTTGTCCAGTCACAAAAGTATCAAAGTACTAATCATGGTCTACATTTTAATATGACCATTACCGGAGCATCAAATCACCTATCTATAGGTAACATTTGATTCATGTCACAATAGTAGTCAGGTATGGTATTTATTGTACTACTATCTTCATGGAAGTACAGGGACTAACTGCTCTTCTTTAATCTCTCTGTTGGAGGCAATTGGCATGTTAGTGAAATTCTTGGAAAATGGTTGTTTGTTTGCATCTTCAGCACACTGCTGTTTTCTAAAACTCTATTATTTGAACATCCACATTATCTGAATCTCTTTTTCATCCACCATATATTTCATGCTGGGGGCAAGGAAGAGATTCAGATAATGCAGTGGTTTGAGAAGAAACCCCACACAAGAATTACAAGGAAGAGGATTATTACTCAGTTTTTTAAAAATCTGTTAAAGCTGTCTTTTCTATTCCTACATGCTGTAAAACAATGACTTGTCAAACTCTGATTCATGTAACTTTATTTCAGTAGTACCATCCCTCTTTTGTTACAGCACATTGAGCCACAAAGAATTCAGGTTTATATATCCAGTACTGCCATTTTGCATGATGTTTTGTGGTAAGCATTTGGATTTTAAAATTGTGTGTGATTATCCTTCTGCAGAAAATTGTTTACATGAAATATAGGCTTGCTAGTCACCAACTTTTTAGAATTAGCTTTCTGTTCACTTAGGGTGTGTCTACACAGAAGGGCTTAGCTCAATTTGCGTAGCTTATTTCGAGTTATTTCACGATAGGTTATTTTGAAATTGGGAGCATCTACACAGCACTTATTTCAAAATAGAGCACTCTTCTTCTGACTTTACTCCTTGTACAATGAGGGTTACAGGAGTTGGAATAAGAAGTCTTCCTGCTTGACAGTATTTTGACATTTCGAAATAACTGCTTGCTGTGTAGACACTGACTAAATTATTTTGAAATAACACGAGTTATTTCAAAATAATATTGCTGTGTAGACATACCCTTACAGCCCCACCAAAACAGATTGAATCATAGGGTCAGGAACAGCTGCTGTCGAGATGGACCATTAAGTGTTATGTCTAAAGCCATAAAAAATAGTGACTCTAACACTTGGATTTTCAACAGCACTACCTTTCAGAAGAATTTGTACTTTATTTTCCATTCATCCCTGGTTCCTCAAAAATACTGGGAGAGAAATGCCCTTAAGGTGGTATCCTTTAAAAAGAAACTGAGCATAAACCTAGCCTGTTCCTGCCCTCTTACTTGTACAGAATTTATTGTATTCACATTTACATTTAAAGGTGATCTGCAAATGAAAAATTATACTTGTCCTTTTTAAGTGCTTTATGCTGTAAAAAGGAGGCTTGATTGGATATTATTTTAAAAACCTCTTACACTTGTGGTTTTGCCTAGGCTGGAAGAATGACAATAGGACACTAATGAAATATGACATGACAGAAGCCATGAAAACTAAGCTAAAATACAGAGAACAGATGTTTGTGGCTTAACAACACACAAAGCTGCACCAGTTTAATTTAAACAGCATTATTTAAACCTGGGCAACCCCATATGGATAGTCGTGCAAATCTACAGATATCCACTTGATATCTACAACTCATTTTTTACAGACACGGATACCAATTTTGTATCTGGACAATGCTCCATGAAACCAGGCTTATTTTGGTTTAGTTTACGTTAACTAGAAACAATTGTCACTAAAACAAACCTGATTTAAGCTTAAATAAGAGTGTCCACACTGGAGCTGCCCTGGTTTAAACTAAATCAATTTTTAAAAATGATTTAAGATGAACGAGATCAACTTCTGCTTGTAGACAAAATTTTAGTCAGCAAAAAAAGCAAGATGGTATAAAACTTCACAACCAACTTAACTTCAGTGATTAACCTTTTCAAGAAAGGTAGCCTTTAATAAAGGCAACACCCATCATTATAATTTTGAAGGTGGTTGCTGCTTTCCCTTCATCCCACAGCTGCTGAAGTATTGCTTAGCACCTGACCCCATTTTCCTTGCTACTGCAGGAATTTATTTAGAATACAGTTCTGTGCTTCAGGCCTTCTAATGGGTTGGCAATACCAGAGTGCCATATTACTGACACTAGAAAGTATCATGTACTCTGGTCCAACTCGGGACTCCTAAATCAGACACTTCAGTGACAGTCTTTTCAGACTGATTCACTGTCCTCTTCCCACACCATGGAATTCAATATAGGTCTGGAAAAATTAAGCACTGCTGAGATAAATCTGCCCTAATTGCAGCTCTGAACCAAACCAGGTTCAAGGACTTGATGTTGCACCTCTCTAACTTTAGAGTATGGAATCCATAGGAAACATGCCCCTTTTTATCCAAACTGGAGGAGGCAGTAGAGAGTTTCCTCCAAGCTGCATGGCCATGCAGGTGCTTGAGCTGCTATGCACAGAGCTGCTGCAGGCAGGTGAAGGGCTTCTCCCCCAGCCACAGCAGCTCTCTGCTGGGGCCAGAGAAGCACGGCCTTTTCAGGGGGCCTACTGGGGAATTACTGCAGTGAGAGAAGCATGCCTCTTCAGGAGGTTGCGGGGGAGGAGGTGTGCTCCTCTGCTACACCAGCATCACTGGAGCTGCCATGGACCAGCAGAGAGGCCCCCTCTCACTTGGCCCATAGCTGCTGCAGTGAGAGGACTACGGGAGCCTTCTCTGTGGACAATCTGTACCCAAAACCCCACATTCCCAGCCACAGCCGTCCAACCCTTGCCCTAGCCTTGGGGCTCCATATTATCCCCAATCCTAAACCCACCCCCACCACAGATTATCCATGTTCAGAATGAATTTTATGTGCACTAATATGGAGGGATGTCTTGCATCATCTCCATAGTGATGCTCATAACAAAACATTCTGCACATGGACATAAAAATGAGGAAACCCTGGTGGACAATGACTTTCAATCACGAACTGTTTTGCTTCTAAATTAACCATGCCTAATCCATTTTCAGTAAGCTCTGCCTATCAAAAGGCAGTTGCAACCCAACACTTACCTATCTGCTTAATCATTTTAAATTTCTCATTTTAGGATATTCTCTTAAACAACTGAAAACATGGAAGAAATCAGCAATAACCTTCCTGCTTGTATCAAATTTACTCCCAGCCCTATACACTGGATTGATTCACCAACGTGGCACTCTTGATGTAATGATTCACATGCAGCAGCTCTGTAACTATTCTAATCAGTCACAGACTTCTGTCTTTATAATGATGCCATGCCACTCTACTCCTTTTTACAGGTAATAACGTAGCTAATAGAATATGTAATGCTAAATCTAGTCAAGCATACAATTTTTCCCCTCAAATAGATTTAATTATTTGAGGGATAATGTGCATCTATTGCCACACTGTTCAGTCTGTATTAATTCTATATGAAATAAAAATTAGAAAAGTGATTTTTTTTTATATTGTTTATACCATCCAGCACCTACATTTTTTCCTATTTTACCAAAACAGCTTAATGTGGAACGTATGTGATGGTCCCATATGTTTACATTGTTTCATTTTGTTAAATATTGGAGCAGGAGTGAAAAACTTTGAGTCCAAATTTAATGTTCATTTCCTTGACTTCTGCTATGCGTAGCCAGAACTGTTATGTAGGACTTAACTTTTACATAACTATGTAATATTTTGATTACATATTTAAAAATTAAAGGATTTATATAGTATTTTCAAAGTGTGCGCTGCTCCAAAGGACTGAGGTCACTCAGGATGGTCTCTTTGCCATTAAAATGTAAAATAAATCAAATCACTTCTTATGAATCTCTCAGATTACAGCCTCACTCACTATTAGCACTTCATTTTACTTTTTGTATGCTTATTTGAAATAGAGGTAAGAAAAGCAATATGTATTTAACACAGACAAAAATCCTACAGATAATGGGAAAATAAGAGAACAAGAAATTTTATGGGCTACATAGCATCCTAAATTGAAATTAAGATCTAAATTGATCACTGGATCTCTACCATTTGTCTTGTTTTTCCTCCTAGCCATGTTCACTGTTCTCTACCGATGAGATTCCTTCAATGTCCTCCAGACCTAACTGGAAATGTGAGTTATCTTGATGAAGCAGATATATTTTACTCGAATCCACTCAAGTGGCTTAATGAGGAATTTTACAATGGTACATTACCTTCTCATTTGGTGGTCTTCAGTGTGCTAGAACAGGTATGTTAATTGTAAATAACTTTATCTAGATCAAGCTAAGAGTCCAAATTTACACAAGAAATAGAAATGAATTGTAATTACAGCATTGAAAATTATTTTAGTCTTTAAATATATATATGACTTGAACATTTTCCCAAAAACACAGCACTTACTAATCTGTCATTGTAGTGAAGGGACAGATCCTAGATAGGGGATGCATGGGAACCTTGCAAATCCTTCATGCCATGAAGTACTGCTGTAAGGCAACTATCTTCAAAAGCAAGTTTGAGATGTATGGACATAACCTACACCATTTGCTCTGAATGACTTTATGGGCATGCAGTGACCAGAGCAGCCAACAAACAGAATTCCTTCCCCTTCAACTCTTCTACAGAGTCTATTTTATTAAGGGTTTGGGGTGGATTTTTTGGGGGGTGGAGACAGGCAAGATTTCACTAACAAAGGGTTTCTTACTATGACATGACACTACTGGTATTTCTCCTTACTAACCTCCATAGGTAACTGAGGGGGTTAGTTTCAAAGAAATTTAGGAACACGGTGCACTACCCTACTACTATAAAATGCCAGACTGTTTGGAAACAAAAGTGTATTTATTTACAGGAAATATCATCGTTTCTTGTTCTAAATGGTTATGAGAAAACTGCTACTATCTTTCACACCCATATGCCTCAAGGACGAATTGGAAGCCACATCTATGTGTACAAAAGAAGAGTGAAATGAAGCATGCCTTCAAGATCAGTTTCTGAACTGGGACCAAATGAAGTCAGTATTGTATGGTGGTGCCTTGGTTAAATAGCCTTCTAGTACAGAACAGAGGGCAGTGACACAGGAAAGTAGGTAAGCAAGCAAGTCTGGCTCAATTTATAGCTAGTAGGCTAAGGATTCTACTGGATGTAACCTTTTTAGTTGATACTTCATTGGTGAAAAAGTGATATTTCAGTGGCAATATTCTCAGTCTTATGTCTTGGTGTTAGGAAGCAGGAAAAACAGGGTTCATCTGTCTTAGGAAATGCAATAGAGTAAATCACTTAACAGCGAACACCAGCAACAACTACCACATGACATATTGTGATTTAGAGGTGGCTTCGTATCCTCTATGGGACTTGTACATCTATACTAGATTTGCTTATAAATAAAGACTTTTACCCACAACTCCTCTTTATTTTTCTTCCACAATATGCAGATGTGCAAGAAATTTCAAGTGCATATGTCAGCTAGCTCATTAGATTGCAGCACAGCAAATTCTTCATAAGTCAACAGGTTCTTGAACCCCCAAAAAGACAAGAAGCAAGTATAAGATTATAAAACATTAACAGATGCATTGCCATAATTTAGACCTACTTTCTGAAGGATGAGATGAAGTTAGTACACCAAACGGTGTTAATTACATGTACATTATGTATGATTCGAGTATGAATTATACTAATGGAATGCAATTAAGCCTATTTTTCACACACAAGTCACAACATACCTAATTACTATAACAATACAACTACAATCAAATCAGTTCCAAAGAACAGTACAGCAACACTAGAGAAAATGCAAGTTATGAAGTTTGATGCTTTTGAATAACAAGGTAAAAATCAATCTGAATAAAGGGGAAAAAAACTTGCACGTTGCAGCTTTGTTGAAAAACAATTAGTTTCCATTGAGGATTCACTAGAAATTATCTACTTCTATCTTCCTGATTTTTACCATACACAAATTTAGTATTTGGGATCAAAGGGTAACTGCCCCAATTCAATTTCAAGATTTGCCATATGTCTTCCATTAGTGCGACCGTGTTTATGCCATTTACCTTCTCTCTTATTACGTTGATGGTGCTTCTGAGTTTGTTTTTCATGTCTGGAACTTTCAGTTTGTGTGAAAGTAGGCCTCTTAGCAGGTCGACTGCAAGGAGTAAACAACATTCGGTTAGCGCTGCTGAAAATATCTTAATAAAAGCAATTACTTACATTTTTATTATTTCACTACCAGTGCTCAAAGAGCTAAAGTTGGTGTAAAGATAAGTTTCATTTAAAAGTATGTATGTACTCACAATGTACTGAATTGATAACCTAAAGTCCTAGTTAGGGTCAGAGTAAGTAAACTCCAGTGCAAGTTTCCATAGTACACCACTAGACTTGCCTTAAAGGGAACACAGCTTTAGTCTTACCTGAAGACTTTGAAAATACGCAAACCAAGTTCCAAACAGAAACCTTTGAGCTTGTGTGTTTGTGTGTGTGCGTACAAGAACTTGTATGGAAGCCCAGGGAGTACTGTTAAATAATAGTAGCTCATCTTTCATGTTTTTTATATTAACAGAACTTATTGTCTCACATCCCACACTTGTGAAGTACAAGGTAACACTGTCTTACTTTGGTTAATATTCTTACCAGTAGTGATAGTCACAAAATATGTTTAAGAATTTAATACCTCACACAGATGTTTTAATCTCATTCAGAACTCAGACCATATTAAAACAAAAGCCCCAATAATAGAGTAAGTTCTGAGAAATTTAAGTATTAGATATCATGTTTTAATAATCAAATGATAGGCAAGTTAAAATCTATATAAATAAAAAACAGCTAGTTAGTTGAGGTGTACATTTTCCAAAGCTAGGAATTAGAAACTACCCCTTGATTAATACCAATAAAGCACTAGCTAATTTGTTCTCTAAAAGCTAAACTGCAATAAGATGAAAAATACTGCAAATTATTTCATAAACAACAAAACCGGTAAAGAGAAGAGTGAGAAAAGCTGCAGCACAGTAGCCTAGAAGACAGACATTACATTTAACACTAACTGCTCTTGACCAAAAAATTAAATATGCTTTATTGAGAAGAGAGCAAGAAAAAGTATTACTGCCCCACTGTATACTGGGGGAGAGAATGCAACTTTTAAAAAAAAAAATTAACATAACTTCCTCTCATCAGATCAAAGTGGACTTATTTCTCCCAAGAGGATGAGAACAAATACTTAAAATAAGTGGAATAACTCAGTTAAATTATTAAAAATACAAGCAAAATACATAATCAATAAGAAGGTACTTATGCAGAGGAAGAAAGTGGTTACCCCTCTGTAAAATATCAATTTCCACACTCAAGGACAACTACAGCAAAGTTCAGCCACATGCCAAGCTCCAGAGAAATGGTGAAAACCTCTAAAGCTGGTAGAGTCATAGGTACTAGGACAGAACTTACTGACGAGTTATCAAATATACCTGTCCCTCCCCAAGAAAGGATTTAAGAAATAATGATGGTGGGAGGTTGTTTAAAAGTTAATTGAAACGTTATCAGTAGCCTTTATTAAAAATGGATGCAGTGTGTAGGTTAAAAAATATTACCACAGATGCTCTGGCCAGTATGCAGACATACTGTTGCAGGCAACGGTTGTTCCCAGCAGCAATACTTAATCTACAACTATTTTCTAAAGAAATCCCACCTGTTAAACCTGAAAAACATACAATGGAATCTATGCTAATATCACTTGCCCCAACAGCCAATAAAATCTGTCCCCATGAGACAGTCAATCATGTTCATAGGATTAAAAAGGGCAACAATGACACTAAGGCCTTTGGTGTCCATAAAATGAATATATGAATTTAGGAAATACTTTATAAAAACCAACCTTGGTCCGTATTGAGGTGAATTATCATAATGAAAGTAGTATCTATAGATGTATTTATCCAAATCTTCAAACATCCCTTCATTGTCACTTTTGTACTCCTTCATGTCTTCAAGATAATCCTTAACGTCACTAACAAAGTCAGTGAACAGCATCTGGTCATGAATAAAGACCCCATTATGGAAAAACTTATTAATGAAATTCTCTAATTCTCTCCAGTGATGAAAACTGTCTACTTCTTGCTGCAAATATTTTTGCATTAATTGATTAAATTCTTCAGCCCTAATAGGGTCCAGTACTTTGTTAAACAGGCTAATAAATTCCTGATGAGCGCATTCAAAAATACCAGAACAGCCCTTTAGGACAGAGTGATGTTTTCTATTACATTCTGGGTTATTGGTGCATTTCTGTGAATTAGTGTCTTTTTCAAATGTGAAGTGAGTTGATCTTTGTTTTCTTCCTTCTCTGAATTCTTTTTTCATGCTAGGCCCGCTGTGATGTGTATACTTAGAAGGATTCTCATGAGTATTATATTCCCGATAGACAGCTTTACCTTTTTTGTTTGCTTCATATTTTTTATCAGACTTCTTTTCATCAAAGATGTTTTTAGTTGTGTCTTTGAAGTGTCTGAATGTGGACTTCACAGAATCAGAGAATTTTTTCAAGTTTTCTTTCACTGCTTCTTTAGCCTGTTTAATCTTTTCTTTGTGGTGTCTTACAAACTCCTTTGTGGAATTCTTCATGGCATCAAAAGTTTCTTTAACAGAGCCAAAAAATGATTCTTTGGCTTTCTTTTTGGTTTGTCTTGTTCCTCTACTATCTTTCTTTTGTCCTTTTTCATTCGTTTCCTGCTTTTCAGTTTGGTCTTTCACTTCAACATACAGTTTTTCCCACAAATCAGAACGTTGTTGTTCAAAGTTTAGCTTCTTTTCCAGCTCTGTTAGTCTTCCTCGCAAAATTTCTATTTCTTCGTTCTCCCTCAATGTATTTTCAGTGTCTCTGTGGTCGGGTGTCTGATGAGAACTTAACTGCTCCAACTCTTCTCTTAGAGCTTCGGTTATATGACGCTCTTTGTCTAGTTCTCTCCTCAACATTTGTGCTTCTGCAAAAAGTGTCTCCTTTTGCCTAAGAAAATTATGTATTTTTTGCTTTTCCTCTTCCAAATATACCTTAAGTTTTTTATTTTCCATGGCAACTGACTCTGTACTAGTACCTTTATCTTCTAAGTTTCTAATTTGTTCTCTCAACTTCCTTAACTCTTCCTGCAGCATGTCCAAGGCTTTTTCTTCCCTCTCCAGAGATTCCCTTAAGTGTTGGTTTTCTGCAGTAAGACTTTTTTTCTGAGATTCAAATGATTTCTTTTCTACCTCTGTAGAAATCAGACATGTTGCAAGGTCTTCTTTTAGTGACTAACGCAAACAAAAAAGCAAATATATTAATCTTAGAATTCATACAATTTAAACGAAGCATAACTGTGACTCTAGCACATACATTACATTAAACAACAGTATTAAAACACTTGATGTACAACTGGTCCATCAAGACTGGTATCCTAATTCTAGGAATGGCCTATGCTTATGGCTAAGATTTTGTCATGGTTATTTTTTAGTAAAAGTAACTGACAGGTCACTGGCAATAAACAAAAATTCATAAAAGCCTGTGATTTGTCCCTGACTTTTACTAAAAGTAACTGACAAAATGGGGAAGGAGGGTTGTTCTACACCCACTGCTACTGCAGTTCTGATACCATCCGCAGCAGCTGGGAACTGCAGGGTCCCAGCTGATGGGAGTTCAGAGAATGGTGGGGAGGGGGGGAGGGCACTTAACCTAGCTTTGTGTCTCCTGCCACTCCCAGGAGCCACCCTGCACTGCTCCCATGGGCCATGATTCTGGCCAATGGAATCAATGGGAAAAGTCTCCAGGTAAGCGATTTCCTGCACTGCCGTTCCCCGAGCTGGAGAGAGGAGGAGTGGCAGCAGGTGGAACTACTTCCTTCCCCTGCAAGCCAGATCCAGACCACAAAGTCTACCCTCCTCCCCTGCAGTGGAAGCCAGTGATAGTGCTGCAGCCTTGTGGAGAGCCATGGGGCTGGAGTGCTAGCCCAGGCTCCCTGCTGCGGGGGGTGGAGCCCCAAGCCCGCGGCCCACCTGCAAGACAATTGTGGACCACTAGTGGTCCATGGACCACACTCTGAGAACAGAATGACAAGGAAATAAATAACTTCAAGGCCTAGATCCAAAAAGTGCTTATAATTTTCTGACTGTGATGATGAAGATGAAAAAAGTCAGTCTAGTTGTTCCTATATGCTCTTCTAATAAATGTGGGGAGTCCAACCAGATCCCCAGGATGTAAATGCAGTTGGCTCAAAGGGACCAATATTATTCCGACCACATCTTCTAATCACTTTCTTCATCCACCTGGTAAAGAGCTGCTAGAGTGGAGAATAAGTAAATCAAACCCTGTTCTCCCTTTACCCAAAACAGGATGAGGAATTAAAAATGACACTATATGACACCATGTTTATTGTGTCTCCGTGATTCCATTTCAATTTTACTCAGTTTACAAATGTAGGGATGCTAACTTTACAAAAACTTAGTATATATATTTATTGTGCATCTATCCTCTTGAGGGGTAAATTAAAAGGCAAATAAAGGTCCAATACAATGTAGCTGACGTATCTATAGAAAAGAGTGACTTCCACTGTTACTTAGGGATAAAGTATTCCCTCAACATATACAAATAACAGATTCAATACTATAAGCTACAACCTCTATTGAGGAGATCATATTCCCCAATGAACTGCAATTAAAAGTCCACACTTACCCCCACCTTATAGTCTGCTTTAACTCCTTGCTCTCGTTGGCACTGGTAAAGGTCATCTTTCATACCATTTATTTCATCTTCATGTGTCCTTTCTACCAGTTGTTGTCGTTTCTGGATCTGAATTGTACCTATAAAGACAAAACTTTCATCTGTTAGTTTGACAAAGTAGTTAGATATGGAAATGACCTATCAAATAATGTATTTATTTCCTTGCAAAAGAAGGAAAATTCTCATGTTGTTTTCACTGTATGGTAGAGACTTATTACTGTTCTGTCTAGTTTTATAATTGCATAGTCTCATAATAGTTATATACAGAGTCTGTTTGCAGAAACAATTTTAAACATATCCATACAAGTTGTTTTGCAATGTTGAATGGCTGAACCTCTGTAGTCCAGCAGCTTTGGGACCTGACTGGTCCCAAATTCTCTGGTTCATCCACAGGAGATCAATATTGTAGCAAATGGGTCTCTATTTTTATTTCATTGAGACAAATAAATGGAACAATGCTTGCAATGCTGCTTAATTATGTATGACTGTACTGATATATCCTATGGAAGCCTATGCCTGGCTAAGGCTTATTAACTCTCTTTATAATGTGTTAGTGTTGTTACACAATTTTATTGTATTGGCACAAATAGATAAAGCATAAAAAATGAGCACACTTAGGAGCATTAACAGCACTTCTACTGCTTTCCGGGGGTATGTCTACACTACCCTCCTAGTTCGAACTAGGAGTATAATGTAAGCATACTGCACTTGCAAATGAAGCCCGGGATTTGAATTTCCCGGGCTTCATTTGCATAAGCGGGGAGCCGCCATTTTTAAAACCCTGCTGGTTCGAACCCCATGCAGCGCGGCTACACGGGGCTCGAACTAGATAGTTCGAAATAGGATTCCTATTCCGAACTACTGGTACACACTACGCGGCTCCCCGCTTATGCAAATGAAGCCCGGGAAATTCAAATCCCGGGCTTCATTTGCAAGTGCGGTATGCCTACATTACCCCGCTAGTTCGAACTAGTGGGGTAGTGTAGACATACCCTGGTTTCTTAGGAAATATTTAGGGATATTTTAGAGCTAAATAACAGCAGAGGACACAAATCCAGGACTGGTGGTTGTAAACAAACTTTACAGGACCATGAGAAACCTGGCTACATCCATGATAAGCAGACAACTGACCTAAGTAAAATAATGCTAGATTATGGATGTTGCTAGACCAGAGAGTGCTTGACTAGAGAGGTTCAACCTGTATTATGTGTTTTTGGATAAAAGCAAACAGACTTTTTTAATGTTAAATAGAAAATATCTACATTTAAATATCAACCATCAGCATAAGAAATGTTACCGGTAAATTTAGTGTTTTTCATAAAATGGAGAAGAGCCATTATAAAAGAAATTAAGCAAATCTACATTGAATGTTTTTAAATTATAGCTTTGCATTATCAAGTAACAATATACTAATAATTACCTGGATATCTGAATACTATATTAACATTCATGCAAAATGGAAACAGCAAAAAAGAAAACCAAACACCACTGTATACACACAGTTATTAAACAGAGGTTATAAAGCAAACTGAATAGCTTGACATTGGGCCCAGTCTTGCAGTCCTTACGTGCAAAAGCAAAGACAACAGAATTGAGTTCATGCTCGATAAATATCCACGTTCCGATCTTTCAAGTAACAAACATTTTGCTTTTTCCCCCCATGTTTTTCGAATTATGTCTTCACTCTGCTAGCTACATATTCACTATTATTTTTCTTCAGTAATCAGTATTCTCCTGTACTCCCCTTTTACCGTGAAAGTCTCAATGAACGTACAAAGTATAGAATTTGTACGTGGTGATGTACAAATTATGTTAGCTTAGTTAATAAATAAGTCCAAAGGACAATATTAAGGGGGTTTGAATCTCTAATTTTAATTTCTTCTGCATTGGATCAACTGTTCTTCATTTAAGTAATAATGATGGAGGGGTATTTCTGTCCAATCCAGTGGAATGCATGCAGAGTTCCTTTTTTGTTACAAAGCTCCTCCTACTTTCATGTTTTATTATTACTACAATTTAAATGGGAATAAAGAACTATTGAGAGAAGTGTTGTGACATTTTAGCCTCACAACATTTATCCATGTCCCAACTTGAAGGAAATCCCATCTATCTATATTTTAGACTCTGTCTGCAAATCCATTTGTTCAAGAATTCTTCCTAAATGGTAAGAGCTAGGGTCACCAAATTTGGTATGCAGTTTTCTTTTCTCCTAACTTAAAAGCAAGGTCGGGGCTTGGTTGTGCCAGAAGTGTTGGGAAAGGGAGAGTTTTCCATAACATGCAAAGGGACGGGCTGCTGTTCCAAGAGAAGCAATGTGAGAGTGGCCAATAGGGCAGCAAGCCCACAAAGGAGAGCTATTCTGAAGCGTGTCCACTGGGCCAGGTGTACCACCAAGGGAGTGGCCAGCAACGCTAGAACTCGACCATCTTGCTTGCCAGCACACTGGTAAATAGCTCCTATGTTCCAAACCCTAACCCTCCCCCTCCCCGCCCTTGGCCACAGTGCCGGAGGGGTGAGAAGGAGAGAACAGACAACTGGGGCTGGACGGGTCTTGGGGCGAGGGGGAATAGGCCGAGTGGGTGGGAGAAGACACACCTCTGGCCCCCAGCCTCCTACATCCACCCACACATCCACCAGCCTGCCTTGTTAAGGCAGGCAACACCCAGTCACTCTACTAGTGAAGAATATTCTTCTCACATAGGAATTTCAGAGTTCAGTTCAGAACAACTATTTCATTTTAGAAAACTAATTTTGCCACTGTCTTGTGGTTGGCTCCAATTCTCTAAAAGTGGTAATTAAAGTGGAGTAAATAGTGATGATCACAAGCCACAATGAACAAGCACAAAACAAGAGCTTCAAACAGAAGTAAATATTTGGCTAGAAACAGTAAAGTGTCGTTTAAGAAAAGTAACTGTCTTAAGTGACAATTTGACATCAAATTGTGAAATGCTGCTATCCACACCAAATGCTTAAAAATGCTTAAATTCTGGAAAATATAGGCTGGATTAGTGAAAAATACCTCAACAGGACTTCTATCTAAATCAATGGACTTAATGAGGGAAGTAGACACATCTGAAAATATGGTTTACACTATATGCATAATCATCATCTTTGGTGCTTTTTATCCATACATCTCAAAGTGTTTTATAAAAGGTAAGCAGATATCATAATTCCCAATTTATGTCTTAAGAAACTGAAGAAGAAAGGTAAGAAGTGACTTTCCCAAGCTTTGAAAGCAGTAGGCTGACACACACAGAAAAGGAACCCAGGCTTTCACTGGACCACATTGCCTCAACCATACCAAGAGACTATCAATTTGTTTTCCTATTAAATGATTATAGCTGAAAGGCCTGCAAAGATCTAGACCAAAGTATTTTATATGGCTGAGTTACTAGCATAGCATAATAGTAGTGAAGCTTTGATTATACAACTATATTTTTTTTAAATCAATCTAATTGCAAGCACAGCATCCTTTACATGGCACTCACTATTTCTTACCTTCAGGTTTACCTGAGAACAAAAAAAATACATGTTCAAGAGTAAATTAATTTGAAAGGTTTGTACTGAAAGTTAAAATTTACTTCTAATCAAAATCAAATCTAATAAAAGAGATCATGCACATTTCCATATTGAAATTGAATAAATAGGTTACTTTAGGACAGCATCTTGTTTTCACAGCAGATTATAAATATCACACAATGAAAAGCCCCATTACGATTTTAATATTTATATTAAAAGACCATGACCAGTACAGTTCACTAACAGCAAAGAAGTAAATATTTGGACCCCAGGGCGAGTCAAGTCTCTTTAGACCTAGTATTTGGAAAGCCCTCTCTATTTCAGTGATAGAGATGTAGCCGTGTTAGTCTGGTGTAGCTGGTTGTGACTATTTTCTTCCATTATTTGATCTGAGGAAGTGGGTCTGGCCCACGAAAGCTCATCATCTAATAAACCATCTTGTTAGTCTTTAAAGTGCTACATAGTCCTGTATTTTGTTTCACTATCAGGCAGATATTGAAAGCTGCTGAGCTCTGCATTTAGCTCTTTTAATAACACAGGTAGTAACCATATATTCTGTTGTTCCTCTATGACTCAGGCTTGAAATCGGACAGACAAGAACCAATATTAGACACCATGCTAAGAAGTCAGGGAGAAGTCAATTCACTGAGACACTGCACTAAGAATTATGTACATTTTCAAGTGCTACTTAATATTTTGCCCTCCAAACAAAAGATAAAAAGTGAGACACACACCAAATTGTTTGATAAAAGTATGACTAGTTCTCTCATTCATCATTGATGAATCACTGGATGGAAGCTAGAAATGTCTTCATGTACTTTTGTCAGCAACTATTAGGGTTACCACAAGACCAATAATAGGAAAAGAAAGGCTTATACTACTACAACTCCTCCTACTACTACTACTAAGTAGGGATCCTAGTGTTCTATGATTTAAAAACCCCATAAAATCCATAGTTTTCTATGATTAAAATGAAGAGCTGAACTTTAGTTTCCCTAACCACATATATAGGTATCTGTTGAACACAATGTTTTATTGATATATTTACCATTTTTAAGATTACAGATGGAGCCCCACTGCTTCCTGGGGCTGAAAGACTGAGTTGAGGCTAGCCCATCTTCTTTATTTTCCAAATTTCTGATTATCTGATATGGCCCAGGTCCCAATTAGATCAGCAAAATGGGATTCCATGGTATATGTTTTTATTTTTTACAAAATGTAAAAACTAAAGATTCTCTATAAAAATGCCAACTCCACATTTTTCTCTGGCAAACTGTAAATAATTTAGTAAAGTAAATGTAATTGGTTCTTTATGAATAGAGCAAAACATTTCCTTTCTGCAAGAACTTAAAATATAAAAGAAAAACGGCTAATGTAAGGATAAGATATAGACTTTCAAAGTAATACTAATACAATTTATATTTAGGTTAACAGTGCCATAAGTTTGGTACCATATGAGTTAAGAAAGTATTGGACAAAACATTTAGAAATCAAAGTTACTTGTTAGTACAATCTGTACTCCTGAAAGAATAATAAAAAGCACCCATTGTGACCCATGAAGCCTATGGCATGAATAAATATGTTGAATGAAAAACCTGAATCACAACACACTGGTATGTCAAATGTACATTTTGTACACCATTGTCAATTTTGTAATTAAATTCAAATTTAATGTACTTACCATAGAAGTGTCCAAATCCCATGCTGATTGCTATCACCAAAGCTAATATAATGCACCTGTTAAGGCCGCTACTAAATTGGCGTTTTTGTCGCTGCTCTTCAGGAGGTTCAGCTTCCTGTTCATTAGGTGCCCCACTCTCAGATTCAGAGTTAGAAACTAGCCTCTTCTTTGCACGCCGTCTTCTCAGTGTGGGACTGGATCGATTGCTGGTTTCATCACTACTTGATTCATCATCACTGTGCTGAGGTGGGAAAACTGAAAAGTGAACACAACTCTATAACAAAAGAATTTGTTACATCAAAACTATATTGAAATTAATTAAAAATCTATATACCATACCCACTAAAAATGTATTTTAACACTTACTGTTGAAGAACATAATACATCATTTACTGCACAAACTGTGAGAGGAAAAAAGCTCCTTTTTATTCAGAATGCTGTGTTTGATATTTTGCTCATTCCCCTCAAATACCATTTTAGAAAAGACACACTTATGATTAAAATTAAGCTCTGTTTCATCCTACAGCCTGACAGTTCCCAAGCCTGAGAATTCCATTTATTAGAAAGTTTTTTCAATTCCTTGGCCAACTGTAGATTTTAAAATAAAACAATGGAATATAATTATAAAAGTTCATGATAAATTTCATTTCTATTCCCATTGCATATTCTTGTAATATATGAAGAGCTGAATTGTCAAACTTCCCCCACTCATATATAAAAACAGCTTAATGCCAAAGGTGGTACAGCAGCTGCTAGAACAGAAGCCTAACTAAAACACACTCTAGTAAATACGGTTTTATTATATTCTCTAAAGAAGTGGCAGTTGTCTTTCTAAACCAAAAGAAACATTTCATGGAAGCATTTGCAGACATAGGAGTGGACATTTAGTATATAAAATACGTGCAGATTATAAAGTAATCATTAATACAAATAGCTCTCTATTATAGCAACTTTTTTCCCTATCTTGAATAGTTCCCTACCACAATCTTTTCACACCTACCCTAAAAGCCACTTTTCAACCACTATTACATAGGAAAGGAGAAGACTCAGCAAATGGATCTGAATAATCACAGATCAGAGGCAGCAACTGAAAGAACCCCACAGTTCTAAGGACATAAAAGCCACAAAGAGCCCCACTAAGATCCTTCTATTCAGCACCATGGAACTAAAACTCTTGCTACCAATCATACATTTTGCCATTAAGTCTTCAGAAAAGAGCAACTAAAATGATTAGGGTTTTGGAACTAGGGTTACCAGTGTCTGGTTTTCTACCAGACAGTCCGATATTTGCACCGTCTGTCCAGCAGAAAAATTCAGAAAATACTGGACATGTGCAGTGTCCCGTATTTTGTGAATTTCCAGCTGGACGCCGGAGGGAAGCGGGGCAGGGGAGCGACTGGGAGACGGAGCACAGTTGGCTTTGGGAACCCTGTGGTCACATGCAAAATCCGGGTGGGGTGGGGGCCACTCCCAGCCGCCACCACCACCCCCCAGCCCAGCTTTTGCATGGCACCAGAGGCCTCTGCTTCCCGCCCCCCTCCTGGCCGCCCCCCCTCCCTCTCCTGGACAAGCGTGTCCGGTTTTTTAGTGGGGTCTACCTGGCAACCCTATTTAGAAGGGGTCCCATGTGAAGAGATATTAAAGAGACTAGGACTTTTCATCTTAGAAAAGAGGAGACTAAGTGGGGATATGATAGAACTCTATAAAATCATGACTGGTGTGGAAAAAGCGAATAAGGAAAAGCTATTTACTTGTTCCCATAATATAAGAACTAGGGGGAGATGGATGGCAGGAAAGAGAATGTTTGATCATTACCTGTTCAGTTCACTCCCTCTGTGGCACCCGGGATTAGCCACTGTCAGCATACAGGATACTAGGTTGGTTTGGTGTGTCCCAGTATGGCCATTTTTATGTTCTTAGCATGTATACAGTACTAGATTTTATCATTTGTTTACTATATATATATGGAATGTTAAAATGCATGTAATCCTGTAACCAGATAGCTCACAAATATTTTTTCAGTTGCACGTTAGCCACTGTGGCTCTGCACTGAAATAGCTTGGGAGCTGGTCCACAGGCAGACTGGCTCAATCTTGTTCCATGTCCTGGCAGTTACCCCTGCTGCGACTCTGCACTGAAAGTAGTTTAGGCAGGTTCAGTACCGGCTCGCACTGGGTCCCGGCAGCTGCCCCCTCTGTGACACTGCACTACTTTTAACCAGCTCCTAAAATACTTTTATAATGCAGAGCTGCAATGGAGGTAGCTACCAGGACTTGTTACAAGGCAGGACTGAGCTAGCCTACCTACCAGCTCCTAAGTAGTTTAGTTTCAGTGCAGAGCTGCAGTAGGGATAGCTGCTGGGATTTGCCAGCCTGCTAAAAAATTTACTCACAGAACTGCAAGGGGGGAGGGGTTGGGTGTAACCACTTGCGCTTATCGGTTAATCATTTAACTGGATACCATATTACATCCCTACTACATATGCATAATCAAACATTTACTGTTTCTTGACAAGGTATCACTAGCAAATAAACAGGATGCAAGTATCTCTGTGGTTCTTCTCCTAGTTCAAAGAAACACCAGTAAGGCCACAAACAAAGATCTAATTAAAAATATCTTTGCGGGGCTAAAATGAGTCAACATACAATTTCATTACTGTAACAGCCACACAATTAAGCAAAAACATGCTTAATTGCAAAAACATGCAAATCACACTGGATAGATAAAAATGCCAAGCAATGACAGCAATTATCAGACCAAGCATTATAATTTAAGTTTCCTCAATGAAAATAATACCCAAATTCTAATTTTTCCAGACATAACAGCAGGGCTAATCAGGACCATGCTGAAAGAGATTACCAAACAGTAACACCTAGAATGCAAAGATACACTGTTTGGGGCTTCCATGGAAAAGTAGCATGTTAGATTGTGAAAGTGAATTTTCTGCTCATTAGATCATACATTTCAATTTGTATCCCTAATTAAGCAATATTTATATGCATTCAAAGGAAAAACAGGAACCGAGTTCAACCATTTTCAATCAATTTAAATTTAACAAAGAAGATCTTTTATAGAATAATTTAAGTAGATATGCACTTCAACAATGGAGGAGGAGGAAAGCAAACATTCCGAAATGGTTCAATCAGGTGAGAATTCAGTGTGGTGCTCAGACACAAATGCACATGTTCTGTTGATACATACTTAGAAACAAAATATTTCACAAGATAATAAATGGCTTGACAGATTACAGTTGATCCTCTATTAACTGAGACTCGCTGGGTCCATGATGTTTCATGATCAGAGGGTATGTTTACACTACAGAGTTTTTTTGGAAAACTTCAATTGTTCTTCTAAAAGAAAACTAAAAGAACAGAGAGGTTTTTTCGACATTGGTAATCCTCATTCTACGACGAAGAAGCCTTTTTCCGAAAGAGCTCTTTAAGAAAAAGGCATGTATGGATGGGGAAGAGGGAGTTCTTTCAAAAGAAGAGGAAAAAGAAAAAAGCACAGGTGCCTTTGTTACCATTCCACCCCTAGTAAACATAGCTGCAATTTGAGCTCATGTCCACACTAAATGGATGCTATCTCTCTAAAAAGCAGATTGCTTTTTCAATGCGCTTTTGCAATGTGGACACTCTCTTTTGGAAGTTTTTCTGGAAGATCTCTTCCAGAAAAGCTTCTTCCAAAAGACGCCTACAGTTTAGACATAGCTAGAGAATCCCGATGTAGGGTTGGGGACAGGGAGTCCTATGAGCCGGGAAGCCCAGCACGAGGCCGCGGTGCTGGCAGCAGGGAGGAAGCCAGCCTCCAGTCTGTAGCAAAACCAGGACTGGGATGGGCCAGTGGCAGAAGCGGAGAGGGGACGGGCAGGAAGACCTCCCTTGGTCTGGCAAAATCCATCAATAGGATCAGTCAGATCGCAAGGATGCTGGATCATGCAAGTCCAACCTGTAACACATGGTATTGTCCAGATTGGTTTTCAGTTAGCAGAAAAGAAACTGTTCAAAAGATCTATCTATCTAGCAACTAGACTTCCGTGATTGGCCCATGCCAGCCGACTTGGGCTTGCAGGGGATCAGCCTACAGGATTATTTCATTGCTGTACAGACTTTCTGACCTGGACTAACGCCCAAGCTTTGGAACCCTCCCACCCTGCAGGAAAAAGAAGTTACCTTGTGCAGTAACGATTGTTCTTCGAGATGCGTGTCCCGTGGGTGCTCCACTGTAGGTGTCGGGCTTGTCCCGGCGCCGCAGATCGGAGATCTTTTCTAGCTGTAGTCTGGCCGGACCACGCATGCGCGAAGTACGGCTCGTGGCTTTTCGCGCTGTTTGAGCGTTGATGGTCTGGCTCCCGCCAGTTCCTCCTGCCTCTTGCTCTGAAAGATACAAAGTATAGAAAACTCCGAAGAGGGGAGGAGGGCAGGTTGTGGAGCACCCACGGGACATGCATCTCGAAGAACAATCGTTACTGCACAAGGTAACTTCTTTTTCCTGCAGGGTGGGAGGGTTCCAAAGCTTGGGCGTTAGTCCAGGTCAGAAAGTCTGTACAGCAATGAAATAATCCTGTAGGCTGATCCCCTGCAAGCCCAAGTCGGCTGGCATGGGCCAATCACGGAAGTCTAGTTGCTAGATAGATAGATCTTTTGAACAGTTTCTTTTCTGCTAACTGAAAACCAATCTGGACAATACCATGTGTTACAGGTTGGACTTGCATGATCCAGCATCCTTGCGATCTGACTGATCCTATTGATGGATTTTGCCAGACCAAGGGAGGTCTTCCTGCCCGTCCCCTCTCCGCTTCTGCCACTGGCCCATCCCAGTCCTGGTTTTGCTACAGACTGGAGGCTGGCTTCCTCCCTGCTGCCAGCACCGCGGCCTCGTGCTGGGCTTCCCGGCTCATAGGACTCCCTGTCCCCAACCCTACATCGGGATTCTCTAGCTATGTCTAAACTGTAGGCGTCTTTTGGAAGAAGCTTTTCTGGAAGAGATCTTCCAGAAAAACTTCCAAAAGAGAGTGTCCACATTGCAAAAGCGCATTGAAAAAGCAATCTGCTTTTTAGAGAGATAGCATCCATTTAGTGTGGACATGAGCTCAAATTGCAGCTATGTTTACTAGGGGTGGAATGGTAACAAAGGCACCTGTGCTTTTTTCTTTTTCCTCTTCTTTTGAAAGAACTCCCTCTTCCCCGTCCATACATGCCTTTTTCTTAAAGAGCTCTTTCGGAAAAAGGCTTCTTCGTCGTAGAATGAGGATTACCAATGTCGAAAAAACCTCTCTGTTCTTT